TCTCTCTCTCTCTCTCTCTCTCTCTCTCTCTCTCTCTCTCTCTCTCTTTCCATAAAACCAAATACCGCACATACCAATCAATTCCCATATGTATTCAGTGTGTGGTTCGGTGGAATGGCGAAAAGCTGATGTGCTTTTCCGCAATATTGGTTGAGCGTTCATTTTGATTCGATACGCTCTGTTCGTCGCTTGGCCTCGTTATATTTTCCCGAAAACTGTATTCAATGTGGATAGATTGTTATCATTTCGTCCATGAATATAAGCAGTTTAGTACTTTTCTGGTGGATTTCACTTCCGCCCCTTTTAAGCTGTCAATCGAAACGTACACACATACCCAATGTTTATCTGTTGATTCACTCAGTAATTTTCCTTTAAATCCGTTTTTTTTTGTGTGTGCGTGAAAATTGAACAAAGAACGTTATGAAATTGAGGCAAATTGCATGATGTTGTTTTTTGTGTGTGTGTGTTACTTGATGTTTGTTACGGCTTGGGTATAACATTGATTTTTATTTGTTTACCCGTTCGCTCGATTAAATCGAGTCGATTTATTGCGTTGATAAAAAAAAACGCAACGGCGCGTTTGGACATCACATCATCGAGCAGTCACTGTCTATCTGTCACTCCGTGGGCTTGGTTTTTGATATCTGCTTATCTGTCCCTATAGCAACAAACATTATGCAAATATATTGAAATGATTTGCAATGTGCATCATCACAAACACGCACATACAAAACACACATGTCGAATGTCATTAATTCAAGGTCACATATCAACAAGTCCCTTCCGATATACGCATATTTATGTGCTCTTACTTCGACACTATAGTAAAAATGGCTATACCAAAATGACCAATTTCAATTTAAACATATTTGCAAATAAGGAAATTGGTCAATGGCTGTCCATACCCTAGATGCAGACAGGAAACGAGCTAAATAAAAAACGGATGTTTTTCATATAAAAACAAGTTTGGTGAAACTTTGTCGGTATCAAAACGGTTTTTGCGTCGTTTCGTCGAAGTTCGTGATCGGCCTAACAAAAATAAATATCGGGTGGAAAAATTTTGTTGAGCGCATGCAATTTTCAATTAACATTTTGTGAAAATTATCATGTTTATTCGATTATATCTCGTTTTTACGACGTAATGACCCTTATCAAATCATTTGCATTGTTTTATTCTTTATTTGTAATCAATCGATTGCAGACACCGCCGCATCAAATCACCGACCATAAGGATGGAGAGGCGTAAACAAACATTACCACATGAAAGAAACACACTCCGAAATGAGGATATAATAAAGTGAACATTTTGTATTTGCAACGCACTTCCACATTTAGCACATCATGTTGTGCGAACGAAAGCATTTGCCATGTATCATTGGCAGTGCTCCGAATGATAAATGGATTACGGCCTGAAAATGGTATGTCAGTAAACAGTCACAGGATCAATCGATTTCATAAAATTATTATTGTTTGTTTTTTTGCTTTTGTTTCTTTCGGTTGAAGATGTCTCACGTGCACGTGCCCCAATAAAAATCATCATAAAACATGGAAATAGCATGCAAATATCCATGCAAAGTGAATTTCTCGTTTTTGTTTTTTTTCTATGAAAAGGAAGAGGCATAGAGAGAAAGCTTCGAAGAGCCGCATTCTGAAGTGGAACTCATGATCACAACTTGATCTAAGTCTTGTAATCTTCAGCATATTCCCATCGTCCATTGTTCATGTCGCTATATGGTTCGATGTATGGCAGAAAGAACATAACGATTAAAGTGCTGAAAATCGCTTAACACAAACATAGAGAGAAAGAGAGTGAGAGCACATGAGATATCATCAATTGAGTAAACAACATCAATAACAGTGTGCCCGCATGCTTTACCGCTACCGACATACACGCCGAATCCATCCTTCTTGCGGTACAGACGTTGTTGGTATCATGTTTGAACGATATATTCGAAGCTTCTGTTGCTTGCTGTGTATGTTGCTCGGTTGCTGCTACACATTGCTCCACATTCACATCCATTTGGCGGGATGGTGTGTACATTGTCGTATTCGCGCCACTATATATATACGCCATGAAAAGGTGGTCTTGCCATCAATTGCAAAACAAACGTTTGTATATCAACATGGAGTGCTGCAGCGCTTCAGCTCTGAACCAACGTATTTCATTTACTCGCAACGTTAAACAAATGTTGTTCTGATTCCAGTTCATTCATTTGATGTGAAAGAAAGATTTTTTTTCCAACGAACAGATTAAGTTTCGACAAACATTCAGCATACCAAAGGCTGTTGTGAAGGAATTTAGTGGAATTTTGCGCGTTCAAAAATTAATGATTACTATAATTGAGCGAAATTCGTTGATTTTAATTCCTTGTGTTTTCATTTGGGATGTAAAGCATTACATCCCTTAGAACTGAACCAAGCTTAATCTTGCGCCATTGATGCTGTTTGCTTTCAGTGAATGTGAAAAGAGTTCTATTCATGATAGTTTAATATCCATTCGATAATAATATATTGTAAAGACGCATCGAACTTGCCTAGAAAGTGGAAGCTTGAAAAGTCAGCACGTGTATGACCTCCGTCTTTTGTCTATCATCATCTATTTAATGCCAAAGGGATAGATATCATCGATTACAAACATACGAATCATCGAACAATCGAATATAGTGATAAACGATTCTTCTTTTGGTTCGTTGAACCTACAATGGTAAATAGAGTGTTAGCGACACGGTCATTGCTTTATCCATCATTAATTTTATTTACTGAAGACTTATATCAAAACAATAGGTGGATACCATATACAAAGTCCGTTTTATAGGCCAAATAAAAACAAAAAAAGCGATATCATTGCGGATTAAGCAATTAATTCGGTTAATGAATGATAACATAGGTGAAAATTTACCGAAATAACGGTATTTAAACGTATTTTCAAGTGGAAAGTGTAATTATTATTACGACGGATTTTTTGCTGGAACTGGACCATGTCGAAGGTGTGATGTTGAGTACCGTACTACCGTACACGTGTGCAAATATCCTCACAGTAGAAAATTGCGCGTGAAGCAATCGGCAAACAAAGGAAAACAAAGAATAAATAAATTGAAGGACATACTTTTGTATTTATACACAATATACAGAGAGCGTGCGATAGAAAGTGAGATAATTAATTTAGCTACACTCGGCCACGCATCAACGAATCGCCAATTTACGTTTGTAATGGCCATCGTGCTCATTTAGCTGTTGTTTGTTGTACAATTCAATTACGACTGATTGTGTCGCCGTTTATTGGCTTTTCCATTCATTTCGGTACCACCGAACCAACAAAATTCAAATACGAAAAACTTTGCGACAACATAAATGGACAAATACTCTGTACGTGCTTAAGAGAAGAACAGTTTTTTTTTTATTCCCGATTTGTTTTTCGTTTTCGTCACCATCGTCGTTTGTTGTGGTGCGCCGTTATCGCAGTGACATGCCGTTTTCGTCTTGGATCGATCCGAGAAAAGCGGAGAGCAAAGCGGAGCAAAAAGAATTGACAAAAGACAATTCACTGGAGCTCAACATGAATTCAACATCGCCTAAATCGTCGTTGGCTAAAATCGGCTTACATGCCAAACCAAAGCCATTTCGTATTTTGATTCTAGGAACAACCGGAGTGGGAAAGACTGGTAATTATCTTTCATTAAATAACATGTTTAATTTTCAGTTTCTACGAAACTAATCAAAAGCCAATATTTTGTTTTTTTGTTTGTTTTTTTTTTTTTCATTGGAAAAACTGAATGGAAAAACGGTACATTGGAAATACAAAATTGTTCATTTTTTCCCATATATGCTTATACATAGCAGAAAAAAACAAAATTAATTATAGATGTCGAACATGTGTCGACGGTGTGGCAGATTGTGTGTTATTCTACATATTACGCTTTCATATTTTGTATATATGTGCGGTTCAGTAGAATGCAATCAAACAAAATCACCACAATGTAGCACACGTTTTCGTGTAGTATAGTAAAAAGCCATCGAAATTAATTCGCATGGATTTTTTGTGCGCTGCACTAGTAGCAGCAGCAGCAGCATTCAAACAAAATATACATATATACATATAGATGTAATGTGTTAGTGCAGATGACATACTCGAAACAATGTAATTAATATCCGAATCCTCTCGAACTTTTGCCCGTCGTTTTTTTTTCTCGCTCTCTCTCCCTTTCACTCTTCCCCTCTCGCTGTTATTTACTGTGTCTTTCATTAGAGAGATTGAAATTCAATCAATTTATTTTGTACCTTTAAATGCATTTCCAATCGGTTGGATGTCACGTTTACAGAATTTGTTGTTCCAATTTTTTCATCAAATCCAATTTAGAGCTTCAGATTGAGGGGGCATTTGTGATGTAAACAACAAGTAAATACCACTGGATTAGGTGCCACAACCCAATAAAATCGGTTGTTTTTTTCTTCTTCTCCGTTTTCTCGAGTACGTCGTAAGTCTTGTTTACAATTTGGTACACACAAAAACAGAGCTTTCCACAACTTATGTTCGCAGTTGTGTTACATTTACGTACAGCTTGTTCCTTCTTGATTGCATATTGTAAGATTTATATCCTAGAAACTTCTCCACTGCTTTGAACCTTCGGGAAAGGAAAAAAAAAACCGAAAACTTTTCTCGACTTATGAGTGGCAATATGAAAATGTAGCTTTTTTGCCCATTCCATAAGTTAAGCACCACATATCAGGCAGCCATTCAAGTAGGTATTTAGAAATTTCGAGAGCAGCCAGTCAAGTTTACATACCTAATAAGCGTGAATAGTTGTTCCGGGTATAAAATGGAGAGAGAGAGAGAGAGAGAGAGAGAGAGAGAGAAAGAGAAAGAAAGAAATAAATGACGATAGAGAAGGGCACCAGCAAATAAAATGTAAATAAAATAGCAGTCAAATGAACATTCCCATCGGTAATTCAGTAACAAATGGATGAACTAATATGTCAATAGCATAAATATACCGAATTGATATGGCAAATCAAAAATGGGTCATGGAATACAAAGCCAATTTTGACATACCTTTCCGGCAAAATAAGAGACAGAATGATTGAGAGTGACTGGAAATGAGCGCAATAATACCATCACATATAAGTTATTAAATTGTGTCCAAGGGCACATTCATATGTATGGTCATAATTAAATTTCCAGCCAGTTGCTCTTTGTCGATATGTGCGAATGCAAAAAGATCACGTTATTTTATTGACACATATGATTTTGTACACAATGCCATTTCCTGGAGGCTCAAATGGATAATCGCATTGAAGCGATAAGCATATAAAGTATATGAAAAAAAAATCAAGGTGGGCGTTCAAGTATGGGACAACAGAAAAAATCCCATCGGCAAACATCATAAAAATATTGGCTGATGATTCGTGCTGTTCATGTGTCACTAACAGTAGGCAATTTTTATTTTCGATACACACACGAATACCGAAAAAATTGTTCACCTTTTTTCTCTCTCTGAATTACTTTTGACTAATGCGATTTCAGTTGGAAAGTTATAAGCTGGGAAATGCCGCACTTGGAGAGTATAAAATCGTTTATCTCAAAAATACGTATAGCTGCATCAGCATTTTTTCTACATTCATACACACATATGGGCAAGAAATCTGACTGGAAAGTTACATTCACACGGTTTTTTGAAATATCTATTGCTCATATCTCCTTTATAAGCCCAGAAACCATTTGAAGTATTATGTTGAAGCAAGCCTAGGCCACAAAACGAACATTTTGTACCAACAAATCTTTTCTTTATCTTTCACACCCATTGAGATATAGCCGTTTGTTTGTTGGACTGGAAAGTTACAATTTTGGCGATGTGTTTGAAGGTTGCCTTACATTTTGCCAAAAATAAATTTCTTCGTAATCGAAGTATTTGTGAGGTTCAATGCTCTGTTAACTGAATGAAGGGTCCAAGAATCGATTGGAATTATATTTTTGACGACCCCATAATCAAAAATATGACTGGATAATAATCAGACCGGAAGGTTACAGAAAAAAAGACTGGAAGGTTACAAATTTTCCCTTTGATTTTGGGCGTTCTCAATTGCGCCAATTTCAGAAAAATTACTATTTTCATTATTTGGTCATGAAAATATGCATTTTTTGCTCCCACAATTCGTTTTGGTTGATTGATTTTGAAAAACATTTCATAGAGAATCGTACATTTCAGAATAAAATGAAAATGGAAAATAAAGCAATTTCTGAAATTTCCCTGTTTTGACACGAACAAGTTATCAAAATTCAATGAAAATTTCAGGAAATATTCAACCTGGAAAATGATTAGGCTGTGCAAAGTTTCATTTCGATTTGATCATTTGCGCATATATTTTTGGCAATTTTCAATTTTTTTGCAATTCTCAATTTAAAATTTCTTGCCCATATATACGCAATGAACATGAATTGCAATGGTGTTTGATGTGAAAACAGCACATTTGACAATATGTCGTTTATGTCAAGTTGACATTGTCAACAATTCCGTTGGGTATGAAAGCAAACAAATTTCCACGAAATGAAGTCAAAGCTGACTGCATTCATTCATAAAACTTGATTCACACTGCGGAAATGTGTAAATATAGTTGTAGTTGGTGTGTTTGTGTGCTGTGATGCATGGAATGATGTGATGGATGTTATAGGCAGGGAATAGTGGTGAGGGTAAGGGAGTACGACCAATGAAATATGATAATGATTGGTCTGAAATGATGATGTTGTTGGCGGCGGCGGCGGCGGTTATGTAGTACGTGTACATAGTTTATAAACTTCATATAAACGATAGTCATGGCCATAATAGTAATAAGGTAATTTGAGACATGTATCAGAAATTTAAATCCTCTTAAATCGAACCGCTTTTTTACGCAGTCATTTATTTTTCCTGCTCTTGCTATATTAGTTTCTCGACACAAAATTTCTACGAATCCTTGGCTTGGTGTGCTTTGATGCATGGTTGCTAGTCAACGAGTGAAGGAAAACCTCATTTTCGTTCATTTAATTCCGACATCGAGTTTACAAGCGACCCTTTTTTGTAAGCATTTGCCTGTGTGTAATACACATCCACTGCTACGCATCATATTATTTACGCTAAATACATTTATCTTGTGCGCTTTTCGACCATAATGATTTAGAAAAATGTGCTTTTCCATGAACTAAGTCGGCCCCGCCAATCACAGGAAGCGAACAGGAAAGAAAAAATACGCGCACCAAAAACAACTAACGCATAAATTAAACAAGATGTTGAGAGTCTCGTGACATTTTTTCCATTATCTTCTGGAAAAAGTTGTTGGTTCCTGAAATTATGTGTAAGATCATTTTTTATGCTTAGTGCATCAGTACACACAGAGTGTGTGACACACAACGGAGTGGCTCAACGTGTTTTTGTCACTTTCGTAGTACATATTATTTTCAAAGCATCCGAAAAAAAATACCTAATATCAACAGCACCTCACAAATTTTCGTCTAGTTCTTCATGTTGTTCATCGTTCTTCTATTACCAATTTACTTCCGCCATATCTCATCAATCAAAATGATTAGTAACAACGATGAAGACGGCGTTGGCTTCAATGGGATGTTCAACACTCGAATACCATCATACTTGTTTGTTTATTTGCCTACTTAAACATTGATTATATCTTAAGGGCGATGGATGCATGAAAGAGAGAAGACAGTCAGTCAGTGGCATTTTCCATGTGGTCTGTAGATGATGGTTTTTTGGGGTGAAAGACAACACAAGCATTCCATTCTCTAAGTGAACGAGTTTGTTTCTAGAAAATTTTCGACGTTCTTTTCACATGTCAAACAATTTGTCATGAGAATGAAATTTGGTATGTCGACCATTCAAATTGGGAATGAAGTAGTAGAACGCATAAGTGAACGGATGTTTGTTTTTGTCATATCAAAGAAATTCATCGCATACGCATCGCAAATTTTTGAGGTCGATTCGATCACACGTGCGTGTACAATTTCATCGGGAAGCATACAAAAACAGATAGGGTTATAAGGAAGAAAGAGATCGAGAAAGAGATAAATTGTTGGAAAATGAGCAAGAGAAAGAGTCAAACGTGTATTTGATTGCTTTTTGCGTAGTAAATAAATAATTTAGACCATTAATTTTTCAGTGGGTTTGTTGTTCCTACTTGGTCCGAAGGGAATAGATTTCGATGGTTTTAAAATCACTTCCGTCACTTGTTTGTGCCAGTTCATAAATCTCTCTTTACCGATTTACAGACAGCTTTCCATTAAATGCCTGTTTCGCATTTCTTCTTGAACATACATGTTCCCCTGCTGATAAGCTCTTGTCTAAAAAAAAAGTAAGGCATTTAAAGTGAAGGAAAGCACACCAGCACCCAATGGATTTCCGCTTAAGAAGCTTCCAATTATTAGCATTTTTCATGATACATTTCATTTCACATGAAATCAAATAAATTGCAGACGAATTCTTCGTCAATCAAACACCAAGTACCAAGCAGAAGAGAAAGAAGGCACACGTGAATTAATTGATGCAATCAATCGAGTAATAGACGCGCGTTCGATGTGTCCTATTGACTTGTGAACAATAGATGTACATAAAATTGGTCGCTATTCTCGCACACCGCATTCATGGAATTGAGGTTATTGCGTGGGGCTGATTAATATTGAATTCGAATTGAAAAGGTTTCGGTGTTTCGCGAGCGTATGTAGGTGAGCAAGGGTTTGACACTTTTGTGTGTCGAATTCACCGGTTTTCGGTTTGCAAATGTGTCATGAACAACTGACGTACCAACGCACATGCAATAATGTTTAAGCCTTCGGCCATATGATGAGCATATTAAAATTCATTCAGCTCAAAATCATCCGAATAATTTACCGACTTGAAAACACATAATAACCGACATAAATGTCACACACACACACATATTGCAAAAGATGGGAAGGAGAGGAATGAGAAGACTGGAGTCTTTTTGGAGCTGGATCTCGGTTACCAACCGTCTGCGGATGACGATAGCGCAAAATATGTGTGCGTGTGCAAAAAAGATGCTATTACGGAAGAATCCATCATGAATGTTTGAATATGCGTTTTTTCCATCATATCGAACGATCGGTTGTGTTGGGTTTTCTCTATTTTTAACCAAGGAAAAAGTCGCTACCGCACACATTAACATTATTGGTACATGGCAACGACTTTTGAATTCGTTTATTGAGCTCTATTTATAAAAGACGGTTATTTTTGGCAAGAGTAGAAAGAACACAACGGAGTCGATTGTTTGAATAGAGAAACATGTAGACTCTTCATACCTTCTCGTTTTTAGCGATAATTCAATTCGCTGCCACAGTGAATGACCTGACAATTCACGACCAAACAATTACAACCAATCTAAACTTACCTATTTTGTATCTACCAAAGTCAGCGGGTATTTGACAATGTAATAAATTGAAATGTGCTATACTTTTGTTGAACAACAAAAAAGAAATCCCATCGAAAAAAAAGGGATGCAAACGAAAATCGGAAGAAAAAAAATAAGATCTCGTGCCAAGTGCCATGACATCGTGAATCAATCTTGGCTCGTGGTTTCATTGTTATTATTGCGACGCATTTTCAGAAGCTCACCAAATTCACTAACAATAGTTTGGAAGCGAAACAATTCATGCACATTGAACTTGGTCTGAATTTTTTTCTTCTTCTTCGGTTGCTATTTTTGCGTTGTTATTGTCGTTTGGGGCCGCGCGTGTACAGAAATATATAAACAGTATGGCATGAATTCATACGGAATGGTCTTGATGATGTTTATGACAATATCATAATAATGCTGCAGACAATAATGCTGTGCTGCTGATAAGCATTGAATCCAAACTGTTTATTGCTCGAAGCAAACGACCGACCGAACGAACGGAGAGTTTGGCTAAGTTACCACCGGAAAAAATAATAATAATGAAAGTATTGTGCTAACACTCTTATCGCACTCATTTAAGAATCCAGATTAATAGAAAGGGACTTCTGATTGAGTTATTGTCTATTTTTCGTGGACAAAGCACAAACATATTTGACGCATTTGTTTTTCCACAATTTTCGTCAATATTAACATTGAATCGAGCTTCCATTTCGCGTCTCTATCTAAATCGCATTGACTGGAGTCGCATTGACTGGAACTTGCTTTGACTCGAATCGCCACGCCTTGAATCACTTTTCGCTTCGTCTATGGATTACCGTATTTATTGCATAAGCATAAAACTTTTGGTAATTTCGACATCACATGCACCATGAGTGTTCAGATAATAAGTCTCATTTTCTGTCTCTTGCGAACAAAAATGAAATCAACCAATATAAACACTAATAAATCTCATTCGACTCTAATTTTTCATAAATATCTAACTTTTTCCCTCTCTCTCTCTCTTTTTCTGTTTACTTTCCATTGCTTGACACGGACGCCTAATGGATTTCATTGCATTGGGCCGTATAAATTGGACCGACCGGTGTTTATGTGTTTGTTGTGTGTATTCAGCAATGGTTGTGAGATTTATAACACGTCGTTTCATCGGTGAATATGATCCGAACCTGGAAAAAGTCTACTCGTTCAACACAATCATGGATAATGAGGCGGTATTGTTTGAGATTTTAGACGCCAAATCAGGTCAACTCAATGTAAGAACATCTTATTATCATCATCAAAACAATCTGTGTTTACACATTTTTCACCCATTTTACGCACGTAGTCCTCTTTTTTCGATTCTTTTTTATTTCGTTCGTCGCCGACATTGTTACGCGCTTGTCCTTCGCCTAAATAAATGATTTTTTTTTATAAAGATTCATTATGCCGGTCTTTTAATGCATTCTTTCTTTTTCTTTTGACTGATAGGAAAGTGACATTGCGAATCTTGAATCAAACATTAGATGGGCAGACGCTTTTATCCTTATGTATTCAGTAACCGATAAGTGCAGCTTTGATGAATGTAATCGACTGAAGTTTTTGATTAATTATAATAAACGACGCAAAAAGATTGGATCAAATGGCAAAGTAAGCTCTATGGACGGCTTATTGTGATTTGTGTCTCTCATTTTTTTTTCCGTATGTCGTCGCATTGTTTATCATTTTGTGACTTGTTTATCCCGAATAGGACAACAGCTGTGATGTGCCCGTCATGCTGGTGGCGAATAAAATTGATCAATATGGTGATCGAATGGTGCTGGTGGAGGATGGGCAAAGACGTTACCGCGAAATTGGTTGTGTTGGGTTTCGAGAGATCTCAGTGCGTGAAAGCATTGAACAGGTGAGATTACATAATCAACTGACACTTTTTTTATAAAAGAAATGTTTTTCATTGTCTCAAAATCTCCTTGAGAAAGTCATTTGATTCTCTCCAGCGCAAGAAAAAAATAATCGATGATGGAACGTCGTAAAAAGTTGCATAAAATATTCTATTTCCAATGATTGGCATGAATATGAGCTTAAATATAAAAGTTGACTAAATTTTCTTGACACTATTTCTTCTTCTCTTCCCCAATGGCATATTTTATCACGTATAGGTTTGGGGTGTTTTCCATGATATTTGTCAAATGTGGCAAGTTTTCTCGAAATGTCCAAAATTGAAGCGGTCAACGAGTGAGGTGCAAACGAGTGCCGAAAGTATAGCTAGCCCAGAATCAACAATTTGCTCCATTTTCGATAATACGATGCGAGTGGAGAAACGACGCTCATTCCTAATTGGCAACTGGACGGAACGCAGTCCCGACGAATGTGATGAGGGAAAGGGTCACGATTCGCATACAAACGGTAAAACAGATGCACCATTTCGAGAACGTGCTTCAACCGATGGTACAATATTTTCACGACCACGACGATGGCATTATCCGGCTCGAGTATCGGTGGTTTCACATCCGGCACGCATCGAACGTCGCATGAGCATTTCGATGCGTGGCAGCAACGCCAGTTACTAAACATTAATTCAATCATTTTCACTTTCTAGATCATAAATGCGAATTATACCATTTTATATAAACTACAGCATTTTTTTTTTTTGTAAAATTCAAGAAAAAATCATTGGATGTTCCAAGGTCATGTGATGTATTTTATTCATTGTCAATCTGATTGTCTTTCAAATGCAGGAAAAATATAAATGAACGAAAAAAAAAGCGAAAACAATTGTTGTTTTGTTGATTCAATTGTTTTTTTTTTATTACTAAGTTCTGATGAGTGTGGAGCGCTTTGTAGAGCGCTTGGGTAAGTACAAGTGCATATGTGCTAAATGGACAATTTAGTAAATATTATTCAGTGATTTTTATCAAACAAGTGATTTTGGGATTGTGTTTTGAATAACAAATTCGATAAATATATCAAATGTTCATGTTTACATGTTATTCATGCAATACGTGCGTAACTTATGCCCTGATAAGATAAATTCCACGAAACAAAAATTATTGATTAACCACAATCAACGTCATATTTTAATTGAAACATTCCAAAATGACAGTTTCCGTTTGATGCTCGTTGAATTTTACATCACGATTTCGCTGTGAAGGCGTTATCACGAATAAAATAAAAACACACACCGACTGTCACAATTTTATGCGCGCAATCAATGTATTTTCAATGTCAGCTGTCAATCGCATCACAATGTTTTGACGCTATCAACGATCAGATGCGATGCGCATATAATAAATCGATACAAAAAGAAAAGTTTTTGCACGAGACTAGAATCTAAAATCGAATGACCAACTGACAGCTTAGTAAGCAGTGCTTATAAATTTTGTCTTTATTGTCGACTCCGATTGGGAAAGAAACATAACAAGTACCACAACAACAAACAGCTGGGCATCATCATTCATTTAATCTCTCTGTCGCAAGCAACGTGACATCAACAATATTCCACTTACTCATTCGCACTCACTTATGAGTACTTGGGTTTCTTTTTAATTTTTTAATTTTTTTTACCGAGCACCACTTTTGTGTGTTTTATTTGTTTGGCACGGTATTCAAGTGGCCACTAAATGAACAATTTTGTTTTGTCAACGAAATGT